TCTTACCTATTACCTGTTATCTTTTACCTGTTAACTAGTACATTAAAAAAAAATCAGACACTGCATTCTTGGTCAAATTCGTGGTCAATGCTGATTATTAGCATGTTTCAGGAATAATTGTTTAATCAAAGAAAGTCAGCTTTGATTCAAGTGCCAACTATTTTTTTTTAAAGGAAGCTACATGGGGGAGGGGTTGTTTGATTTTGGTTTGCCTGAAAGATTGGCCTTCACATAACCTGCCTTTTGCTTTATAACCCCTAAGCAAAGGTGTAGCTTTCCTATTGAAATAAAATAAAAACATCTGAAATAAAAGCTCATAATTCAAACAAGAACATTTTTGAAGCTTGCAACTCTTTCGGTTTCAGAAGTTAAGATGTATTCTGTGCATTCAGAATGAAGGAACTTTACTAATAATACAATGGTTTCATATTGATATTAACCAATTTTAGAATGAGCTAAAAATTTCCCCACTCACACGGAACAAAGTACGACTGTTTATTCTAAAGTGACACTAGACATTTTCATTTTGTTTCTGCCACAAAGAAGGGAGTTTCTTCCCCCCTCCCCCCCGTTTAAGACTGTGATAATCTCAACTGGGCCTATAAATACTGACATACAGTATGAAATGCTTTGATTCGGAAATTGGAATTGGTCCCTCTCCCCAACTATAATTTTTAATAGGAGAGTAACTGAGTCTCCTAATCCTAAACTATGACAAAAAATGCATTCAGAACACTGTATGTGCAAAACCAGCTGTCCATACATACCTCTACAAGAAGCTTATTAAAATCCTATCTTCTTCCATTTAATAGCATCAGGTCAGCATCCCATCCCATCTCAGAGGAGGATGCTTTCTTTCCATCCCATCCCCTCACTCTTAAATTAAAACAAAGCTGCAACAGAAGCAAAGAGGGGAGGGAAGCTGTATTGTCCACTGGTCATCCCTTGTTCTCCATTTATCCTAAACCAAGCAGACACAGCAAAGAACAATGATAACAGATGGAGCTGCCAGTCCACTAGGCTGTTCCTCCTACTCTCACAGGCACTACAGAAGTTGTTGCCCCACAGCAAGAAACTGCCATTTATTGTGCTATTATCAGCACAAGCAGGACATAGCCAGAGTACTGCCAGCTGCCAGCCACACAATCTCAGAGCTGGCAGAAGGAAGTGAAGTGGCATTATGCTCAGACATCAGGCCTCTGATCTTCCAGTTATTTCTTTTCCAAGGTCATGGGCAAAAGAGCCTGTCACAAAAGAAAAAGACCCCCCCCCCAATATTGGCATTATACTTTACACAAACATCTATCTCCCAATTAACACAACAGCCTGGGGGAGAGATTTACAAGGATGAGTAGGATCTGCAAAGTCTCTCTTGGAAAACCTTTCCCCAACTATTTCATTTTCCATTCAGGGCCAAATCTAATGGATAGGATTCTGCTAAGGTGCCTTGAAATGCTCTGTTGCTACTCCAATTTTATAAAGACATGCATTATTGCCAAATTCAAGCCAAACAGTTTTTCTTAAATCCTTGCCCTCCAGGTAAGTTGGAATACAGCTCCCATTGGATGTGCTGCCTGGAGATAGAAGGAGAAAACAAGCAAGACTCTTATAAGACATGTTTTCCTATTAGGTTTACCACAGGCCATTTTCATTGCTATAAAAAAGCAGAACCAGCTTTATGCTCAATCTGACAGGGCTAATCAATTTTGTTTCAGAATCTGGAATCTAAATTCCACATATTACAGAACTGCCACACTAGTTTTCTGTACACATCTGTTGGTTGAAAAAAGGCATAACACAGCCAGTCTTTTTTTTCTTTATACCGTACAGAAATAATGACAGTAAACTTCAATATAAACACAAATTATTACCTGTAACCAATAGGAAAGAGGTAAACTAGCTCAGTAGTAAACTAAACTAGTAGGACAATAAACATACAGCGAACAAACATCTCTATTGTTTAAAAAAATTGCCAATCCTTCAATATAAGCTAGTTGTATACCAAAGTATATTCTAGCTCATTCCATTGATAGAAAGGGAAAGAAATTAAAATATAAATATTCTAATCTTCCCTTCTTATACAAGCATCCTGCAAATGCAGATTTCAGCTATTAACTATCATGAGGCTCCCACAGCACTTAAACCAGAGTCTGTTTTCTTTTTCCTCCACAAATAGCTCTCGCCATAAAAACCATGATAGGAAAGTGATGAACCTTGACAGCACTCTGGAGAAAATGATACTGAATAGGCGTTTCCCCGCTTTTTTTACAGTGTAAGCAAGAGCTCAGTCCCACTTCAGCAGCCATCTGGAAGGCATCAGGCTGGGAATGGCTACTATTCTATAGTGGAGAAGCAAGTATTCATAAATCCTATCTGAAGTCTCTTGATTCAACTGTAAACCCAAGTGGTAGATTTTTGTTTCCTTTATGAGATATGTAGGTTGTTGATGTGCATTTTTCTCTGCTTCCCCACATCAATGTTTTCCACATAAAAATAATAATAAAGCTAAAACCAGGCAATGCATACATACCTAAAGCTTTGCTATTTCCAGAATCTAGGCAGAAGAAAGTAATAAGCTATCAGCTGGGCTACAGATCTGATTCTCTGAAAGCCATTAGCTTTAAGCCTTTCCTAGACTAGCACCTGAAAGGTCAAGTAAGCCTTATGCACAATCCATGAAGATGCTCTTTTCTCCTCAAAAACAGTACACTGCTATAAATAATTCAGTACGGGCAGTTGACACTTCACAGATGTGCTGGGAGATGCAGAGGCAGAAATAATATATCAAGTTATACAGCTCACACAAGCTTCTAAGCACACAGTCTGCTTTTAAAATCTTTGGACGCAACCGAGAAGCTTTAGCTGTTCGTTCCTTCTGATTTTCCTAGGAATACAGCTAGCCCTCGGTTAATGACCACTCATTCGGCAACTGCTTGAAGTTATGACGGTGCTGAACAAGTGGAACTCATGACTGGTCCTCTATGTTCCAGCCGTCGAGCACCACCGTTGTCACGTGGCTAAAATCTGTGACCTTGGGACTGTCAATGGCTGCTCTGTCCCACGGCCACGGGATCGACGTCTGCAACAGGGCGTTGGTACTTACCTGATACGCCTCTTCTCATAGTGGGGGGAGGAGTATCCAGGATGGGTGTTGACTTTGTCC